TTATAGAAAAAGCAAAGGAATTCCAGAAAAACATTTACTTCTACTTCATTGACTACACTAAAGCCTTTGACTGTGTGAATCACAATAAACTGTGAAAAATTCTTAAAGAGATGGAAATACCAGACCACCTTACCTGCCTCCTGAGAAACCTGTATGCAGATCAAGAAGCAACAGTTAGAACCAAACATAGAACAGTGGACTAGTTCAAAAGTGGGAAAGGAGTATGTCAAGGATGTATACTATCATCCTGTTTATTAAACTTCTGTGCAGAGTACATCACGTGAAATGCTGGGCTGGATGAATCACAAGCTGGAATCAAGATTTCTGGGAGAAATATCAACAACCTCAGATGAGACTATCCTAATGTCAGAAAGCAAAGAGGAACAAAGAGCCTCTTGAGAGTGAAAGAGGAGGTTGAAAAGGCTGGCTTAAAACTCAACATTCAAAAAACTGAGATCATGGCATCTGGTCCCATCACTTCATGGCAAATAGATGGGGAAACAATGGAAACAGTGACAGACTTCATTTTCTTGAGCTTCAAAATCAATGCAGATGGTGACTGCAACCAGGAAATTAAAAGACATTTGCTCCTTGGAAGAAAAGCTATGACCGACCTAGACAGCACATTAAAAATCAGAGACATTACTTTGCCAACAAAGATCTGTCCAATCAAAGCTATGGTTTTTCCAGTAGTCATATATGGATGTGAGAGTTGGACCAAAAAGAAAGCTGAGCGCCAAAGAATTGATGCTTTTGAACTGCGGCGTTGGAGAAGACTATTAGAGTCTCTTAGACAGCAAGGAGACCAATTTGCTAAAGGAAATCAACACTGAATAGTCATTGGAAGGACTGATGCTACAGCTGAAGCTCTAATAGTTGGCTACCTGATGGGAAGAGCCGACTAATTGGAAAAGATCCTGATGCTGGGGAAAGACTGAGGGCAGGAGGAGAAGGGGGTGACAGAGGATGATATGGTTGGATGGCATCATCAAAACAATGGGTGTGGGTTTGAGCAAACTCCAGGAGTTGGTGATGGACAGGGAAGCCTGGCGTGCTGCAGTCCATGGGGTTGCAAAGAGTTGTACATGATTGAGCATCTGAACAACCACCCCCAGTTATTCTTCATTCTGAAACTTTGGGCAATTTCACAACTTTAATCTTCCTAATAAATTCTTGAATAATGTTCAACAATTCTTCAATTCCAATTGTATTAAATTGACAGATTAATTTCATGAGTCATGGGTATTTTGAAATCAGATCAACTATTGAACAAAATTAGGAATTTTATAGTCAAAATGATTTAAGACATTAACACGGACTAATTGCTTTTGGAAATGCAGCAATGAGGTTGGTTTCCCATGCTATTCAAACAAGGTACCAACCCAGTTTCTGCATGTTATCTGTACCCTCTCCTCTCCTCGTTTGCTGCTTTCCTTCACTCACGACATGGCTGCCAGCAGCAACCACACTTGTGTACTTTCCTAGTAGAACCACAGTGAAAAAAATGCACTGCTTCTCACCTGTATCTAACAAGAGTTCTGAGCTTTGCTCTGATTTGGACCATCTTTTGCTGTGGCCTGAGGAAATGAAGCTACTGACTGGTACACACTCCCAGCTAGGGTGTACCTTTGGATCTGGGGATGGAATCATTCCAATCCAAACTGGCAAGCTGCTACTAAATAGGAGCAGCTAAATGTTGGGATTAACCATGATGCAATGAAAATTTCTTATAATTTAAAAATGTCCCCCAGGTCTTTTAGCATTCTTAGTCATAGCAGTAGGCATCTATTTAAAATATACACACACTAACTTGTGCAGGTGTGCACATACATGTACACAAGCTATGCGAATTCTTACAAGGCCTAAAAACTAGAGCCAAAAGGTGAAATGGTCTTATCAAAACAATGGCAGATATTGGCAAATGAGAGTTAAAACATATAATTCATTGTGCTAGTTACAACAGTATATTTACATGACTGACTCACCAACAGCCAGAGATTTCTGATGCCCACCACCTCTGTAGTTACTCAGAATAGCCTATTTATTCTCTTTCTCCTCAATAAGACTACTGAAATCTCATTCAATTTTACTGGTGTTTCATCATTCACTGCCAGAGTATTTGTCATAGTCTCTGCAGTTGGCATTTGCCTATAATTTGGTCAGGGTAAATGTGTATATGTCCGTTCCCCTCAATATTCCAAGCCTTCTCAAAGGGAAGGACACATTCTAGTCTAGTCTGCCTGCTGAACCTCTTACCAAGGAGCTTAGCAGAGACCACTGTATATTAAGGATTACTGAATAAATATTCATCAAGTAAAATATATCATTAGCTATATAAAATTTATTCTGGATAATTATATGTAACAAACAGACTATTAAACTAGAATTTATGAGCCCATATTCTTCCAAAGTAGTTTTCTATTGCTCTCATCACAGGTCTTGCCACTCTCACCTACTGTTTTCACCTTTAATTCATCTCAATTGCACAATCATTTATTTAGAAGCTGCTATGTGCCAGGATATGCTTGGTGCTAAGGATACAAATATTGCTAATCACTCTGTCTTCTAGGGTTTACAGCCTCAGCATTGAATATGCCTTCTGGGAACATTCTCACCAGCGTCCTTCTGTCTTATTTTAACCCTATGCATTCCTCAGATTCCATAGTGAATCTTACTTCTTCCATCAAGTCTTTCTGAGCTATTTTTCCTTCAGTGCTGCTTCTTTGTACGGAAATCTTAGCATATTCATCTCATTCTCTAATCTCAGTAATGGCAATGGACCTGTGAATCTCAGTCTTTACTGAGTGGTGCAGGGTTACCCAAAAGAAGAGCACAAATTGAGTTTAGATTCAAACAGAGGTATAGATCCTAGTGGAAGGGAGCTGCTACATGCTGCTAAGGCAAATCTTCCATGTTTAAGAGCCATTAACCTAGAAATACCACAGTCTCAGCCAGCTTTCCTAGGGGCACAAGATGCCATCTGGGAGGAAAGGTCATGGGGCAGCCAACCCACTTTAAAACGACAGAGTCAGCTTTACCTCCCTTCATGGCACAATCAGTCTAATTACTAAAAACACCAACAGCAAACACAAAACACCCCCTCATCCTTGCTGGATGAGTTCTAAAACCTCTAACAAGGTTGGGTGGGGAAGGGAGAGAGGATGTTTATTTTACAATTAGAGACAAACTAAGTACATGGTTAATATTTCACTGTGATTGAGTTTTGATTAAAGTATAATTAATCAATAAATAAACAATTAATTATATAGTATTAATATTTTCTCAGCTTTATTACAAGATGGGAATAAAGGAAAACAGAGAGGCAGGGAGGCAGGGGGCTGTTAGGAGACCAAAAACATGTCTGCCCATGAGGAACATGTGACTGTTGCCACAGAGAAGTCAGAAAACAGCTTAGGTCTTGAAAGGCACAGACTTCACCTAGGATTGCCTTTCCAAGAGCTGAGACACACAGAAGCTGTCACAGAGGAGCCTGGATCAAGAAGCTAAGAAAGCAAACAGCTCTGTGGTAGGATTTAAGATTGTCCTTGTTACTAATTTCTTAACACTAGTAATTTCACATAGAAGAGCTTCATTCACAAGCAATTCATTAAGAAATATACGAAATACTAATATTTGCACATTCACCTCTTTCATTTCAAAGGAAGAGTCTTTTACTTCTAATTTACTATAAATATGTCCCTTCAATAGTGTTTCTTTCTTTTTAAATATACATTCTTTGGGGAAAATTTTGAATTCAATATAAAAGAGTAAAAGGCATGTTTTCCTACAAAATGTTCCCCAGAAATTATATACTTAACACTATATGAAGTAGGTTATTGATTTGACCCAGGGTGGCATTTCTCAGTTTGTTCATTAAATGAATTTTAATATAGAATTTACACTAGAGAAGATGGCCTTGCCAACACAGAATTTTAAGTCACTTAACATTATATTTGTCATTCAGAAGAGGATTGTCATTCTCATGATACAATCAAAAGTCATTTTCTTATTGCCATTTTACAGCAAAATGGATGGACTTAGAGATTATCTTACTAAGTGAAGTCAGAGAAAGACAAATATTACGTGCTATCATTTATGTGTGGAATCTAAAAAATAATAAATGAATCTATGTACAAAAAAGAAACAGATTCACAAACATAGAAAACAAACATATGCTTACCAAAGCAGAAATGAGTGGAGAGATAAATTTGGAATATGGGATTAACAAACTACTACACATAAAATAGATAAGAAACAGGATTTACTCTATAGCACAGGGAACTATAGTCAATATCTTATAATAACATATAATGGAAAATAATCTGAAAATATATATATATAGCTGAGTCACTTTGCTATACACCTGAAACTAACACAATGTTGTAAATTAACTAAACTTCAATTTTAAAAGTGCATTTTCTAAAAAAGTTTATAAAACATGTTTTGTGTTCAATATAGGGCAAAATCATGGTAGATTACAGATAACATAATTACATGGGTATATTTTCCACTGTAATCAATTTTTAGTACTCATTTTTAAATTTTCACTGAAGAGGAGCTTCATATCTTGAAGTGAAAATTCAGTTATCAAAAATTCATGTTTAAAAACTATTTCTTACCAATAGTAAAGCGATAAATAAGAAAGATATTTTGAAAGTGAAAGTGAAATTGTTCAGTCATATCCGACTCTTTGCAATTCCATGGACTGTAGCCCACCAGGCTTCTCTGTCCATGGGATTTTCCAGGCAAGAGTACTGGAGTGGGTTGCCATTTTAACCATATACAAATCTTTAAAACTGTTACTTCAGGGAAATTACTTTCCAGAAAAAATCAAGAAAACCTCTCCTTTCAACAAACAGTCAATTTAAACATTTACTGGTAGACTATATTCCAAGCACAAGGTGTCTATAAAAATGGTAAATCAAAAGTATAGTGACCCCTAAAAAAATAAAAATTTGATGACAAAAATCTACATAATTGAAGAAGTTTTAGCTTATCACCTGTATATGTCTTCTAATTGCAGATCAAAATCTTGAAGTTTCTTTTGATATTTCTCTGTAAAGTTACAGAACTCATTAAGGATTGAAGATTTCAAGTCAGGGTATGGACATTCCAAAGTTTCTAATTCCATGGGCAGTTCACTAAGCAGGTTACTTCTTTCTTCTGAAGAATGATCTAATATCTGAAAAAAAAAATTATATGATTGTTCTATTTAATATAAATGACAAATTGATAATTACTACCTGTATTGCACTTACTTTCATGCTCCAGTCTGAAAGATAATTTTCTATTTTCTGTTGCTCTAGCCTAAGTTGTTCATAGACAGCTTTCAGTTGTTTCTTCACGAAGTCAACCTATAGGACATTTAGAGCAAGTGGTATGCAAATTATTGATTTATTCAATATTTAAATTTAAAGTCACAGAAATTTTTCTCAAAAGTCAATAAGTGATGACAAATTAAATAAGTGAAAGTCCCTTTCAGGATCCATGGAAGAGGGTTCAAGAGATATCACATCTAGGCAGTGTCCATCAGTCAAAGGAGCTTTAAAGGGGCTTCTAGACATATAACCCCAAAATGAGTTCAATTATAGCCACTCTGCACTCACAGTGAGTTTTGTTTGTGATAAGGCAGAAAGCTTACCAGACTGCCTCTGTTTTAATCACCCCCTCCTTTCCTCACATCCTTGCTACTAATCCCCAGATGGGCATTGATTTTTAATGTTCACTTTTAATTATTTATGAAAGCAATATGACAACACTACAAAAACAACTAAAACATAGAGTATGAAAAAAATCACCTAAATGCCTACATGCAGTGCAACCATGATAAGGGAGGTTATGCTCTAGTCGGGGAGGTAGTCAATAAACTCATAAAAAAGTAGGTAAAAAAGCATCAGGAGGAGGTAAGTGAGGTATAAACTGGGTGAGGGGATAGGGAGTGACTGGGCTTCTCTCGTATGAGTAGTCAGTATAGGCATCTCAGAGGAAAGGACATTAAAGCTAAGACTAAAAGACAAAAAGAGCCATCAGTGGGACAGAAGAAACAGCCCATGCAAAAGCCTTGAGACAGGAAGGAGTCTGGCTTATGTGAGGAATAGGAAGAAGGCCAGCACTGTTAAGACAAAGTCTAGTAGGGAAAGCAGGGTATCAGATAGATAGTAAGACTAAAGAGGTGGAAGGTAGGGTCAGATGTATGGGGAGTTTTGGTACCAGGTGCCCAATGCACAGTGAGGCCAAGAGATATCAAAATGTCAGAGTTTGGAGCAGAGAACGGCTTACTACAGGGCCCTGCAGAGAGACAGGTAGTTCATGCCTTTAAAAACCCCAAATTCCCCAAAAGCTTTTAGCAACTCCCTTTTTATAGGAAAGGCGAGGGAGGGGCATAGTTAGTTGTTGCAAAATTCTGGTGTCAGATCCTTTGCTCTCCAAGTCAAGTCATGGTCAGGTCACAAAGATCGTGTAACCCTCCACTGAAACAAATGATTTTCTGCTCTGACAAGAAAGAGCAAAGTCCCAAGGTTCAACTTCTCCCCTCCCGCCAAGGTCCAGACCCTGGCTTGGCGGAGGGAGACCCTGTGCTGGTTACCTTGCCTGGGAGCGTTAGTCCAGCAAGCAGGCTGGGTCCTCCCACCAGTGCCCCGGCCTGGCTGAGGAGGCAGATCTCAGCTGGTGGCACCTTCAGGATCTAGTCCCCAGACTTCACCCAGTCATCGTCACTGAGGGAGCAAGAAGCCCAGGAAGCAGCTGTCACATGGCCCAAAGTTGCGGGGACCTGGTCCTACACACTGCGGCCCATGGAGACTGCCACCACCATTAGGTCTAAAAGGTGGGGGTTGGGGAGAGGTTTGCTGCTGCTTCAGGGCCTGGGCCTGGCCAGTGGGTAGCCGTGGTGAAGGTTCTGGAGCCTTGAAGGACATAGCCCTCAGCCTTTCCCCAGGTCCACCAGCTCACCTGCTGGCTAGAAGTCAGAGGGCCTGGAGCACCCCAGGGAGAGGGTGGAGATCCACTTCTCACCAAACTTTGTGCTGTGAGGACCACCTCGTGGCTGACTGTTGAAGTGGGACTTGTAACCACAGTGCTAACGGTTACTCCCTAATGGTCACATGCTAATGGTCTCTAAGGACCTCGCTTTAGCAGTCTCTCTTTAAAGGTCTCACACTAAGGGTCTCACCCTAAAGGTCAGGAGCTCGGACTACACACTTGCCCCACCCCTATTACAGGAGGAACCCTGGCCAGTAGGAACCCTGAGGGGATTTACCAGGAGGATGATTTAATCCCTGTCTCTAGGATAGGATCTCAGAAAACACGAGGAGGAGGAGAAAGGAGGAAAGCAAGGTTATGAGGTTATTGTAGCATTTCTAGGTGAGAAATGAGCATGTTTGTACAGATTCGGGGCTAGAATTTGCTATACCTTCTATTTAAGCACACAAAACATACACGTTCATCTCAGACTCTTCCAAATACAACATTAGTAAAAGTAAAGGACATATACTGACCTCTTCCAATACTTTCACAGAGTTAGATTCACTGTATGAGTGTGAATACTGTGAAATGTGATGCTGTCTGTATTTTAGATCTTCTCTCAATTGCTGAATAGGATTTATTACATTTTTAAGATATGTGCACCATTGTTCTGATAACTCCTGTTCTATGGTGAAACAAAATCAAAGCAACACATTATTAAGTTTCTTCACGAACAGGTCATTAAGATGCAGACTTTTTGGATTCCTTAAGAAAAAACAAACAGCATTTAATATTAAAAGAAAATGAAATGTGTGGCCCACTTTCATCTTTAAAACAAAACTCCCCTTTAAATGTGAAAAAACAAAACCTACCAAAATTCATAAGGTCAGAAAGACATTCATTTCCAATGTTCTTTTCATTGAATAAGGATTTTATCTCAGATTCCATTTTGTATCTGAAATAGACATTATCTTAATCAATTATATTATAATCATAAACATATATACAAGTTGAAAAAATAACTAGCAGTAGAAATAGTCAATCTAATGTGGTTTCATTCACCTGTTCATTAATTCAGACAGCATACCACATTCCTAACATTGATTAGATAATCTCCAGGACACTGAGATAGACAGAAGTATGGCTGCATACCTCAGAAGTAACAAAATTAGCAAGGCAAGGACAGGATACATCCCTGCACTATTTCAGGTGGAGAGAGCAGTGGGAAGTGGGGAGCCACTGAGGGATATTAAGCTGACCACACCAATTCAGATCTGTGTTTCAGAAAGATTTCCAAGGCAACAAGATGGAGGATGGGCTGAAAGGAGGGTGGTTAATAAAAATGGAAGATGAAGAGGAGATTAGGCAAACCTGGACCAATAAGCAGGTTATTTAAAAAGTTCAGAGATGAGAAAGTCCTGACCTAGAGAGATGAAAGTAAAAGTATATATTTTATATACCAAAAATATAATAAATCTTAATAAACTTTTGCTATATTATGTAAATATAGTCATTTTAGAGTAAAACTATAACCAGCACTAAATGGACATAAAAATACTGTACTCAATCTCTTATTTATGTCAGGTTTAATAAAAATCATAAAGAGTTTTGATTTATTATGATTGTTAAGATGCAATAATTTAAATGGCATAAAATAAGAAAATAACAATTGTAACACTTAAATATGATTATTTTTATTTTTGTATGTAAGTTTCTAGCCTTCATCAACATGCATGAATGTTTTAAACAGTTGTAATTATAGCCTATCTACCATTTTACATTAAGACTTTTTGAAAACTAACTTTAATAATAATAAATATTTATTTATTCTAAGTAATTTTTGTAATTATTGTTTACCTTAGTGGCTGTATGGTATTCTATTTTATATATGTGCCATCATCTTTTAAGCCAATTTACAAGTATGAGACAAGGGTTTTGTTTACATGTATAGAGGAGGGGGTGCCACTGTAGATGACACTATTTCTTTAGCATCTGGTCTTAGTCAAAAGTTTTTTTAAGATTACATATGAAATTGATGGGACTGGATGCCATGATCATAAACATGGCATTTAGTCCCATCACTTCATGGCAAATAGATGGGGAAACAATGGAAACACTGACAGACTTAATTTGGGGGGCTCCAAAATCACTGCAGATGGTGACTGCAGCCATGAAATTAAAAGAGGCTTACTCCTTGGAAGAAAAGCTATGACCAACCTAGACAGCATATTAAAAATCAGAGACATTACTTTGCCAACAAAGGTCCATCTAGTCAAAGCTATTGTTTCTTCAGTAGTCATATATGGATGTGACAGTTGGACTATAAAGAAAGCTGAGTGCCAAAGAATTGATGCTTTTGAACTGTGGTGTTGGAGAAGACTCTTGAGAGTCCCTTGGACAGCAAGGAGATGCAACCAGTCCATCCTAAAGGAAATCAGTCCTGACTATTCATTGGAAGGACTGATGCTGAAGATAAATCTCCAATACTTTGGCCACCTGATGCAAAGAACTGACTCATTTGAAAAGGCCCTGATGCTGGGAAAGACTGAAAGCGGGAGGAGAAGGGGATGACAGAGGATGAAATAGTTGGATGGCATCACCAACTCGATGTACATGAGTTTGAGCAAGCTTCAGGAATTGGTTATGGACAAGGGAGCCTGGCATGCTACAGTCCCTGGCGTTGCAAAGAGTCGGACATGACTGAGCGACTGAACTGATGAACTTGATATACTGAGAATGGGTGCATGACAGTGGAGTATACCCAGAAGTTATTTCATAACATATTTTTAAAAAATATTTATTTGGCTGCATCAGGTCTTCGCTGAATCATTTGGGATTTTTTTCTTACAGTTGCAGTACAAGGGCTTGATTGCCCTGTGGCATTTGGCATCCTATTCCCAACTAGGGATCGAACTTGCACTCTCTCCATTGCAAGGCACGTTCTTTTCTTTTCTTTTTTTAATTGCAGGCTAATTACAATATTGTGGTGGTTTTTGCCATACATTCACATGAATCAGCCATAGGTGTACATGTATTCCCCATCCTGAACACCCCTCCCACCTCCCTCCTCATCCCATCCCTCAGGGTCATCCCAGTGCACCAGGCCTGAGCACCCTGTCTCATGCCTTAAACCTGGACTGGTAATCTATTTCACATATGATGATATACATGTTTCAGTGCTATTCTCTTAAATCATCCCACTCTCGCCTTCTCCCACAGAGTCCAAAAGTCTGTTCTTTACATCTGTGTTTCTTTTGCTGTCTCGCATATAGGGTCATCATTACCATCTTTCTAGATTCCATATATATGCGTTAATATACTGTATTGGTGTTTTACTTTCTGACTTACTTCACTCTGTATAATAGGCTCCAGTTTCATCCACCTCATTAGAACTGATTCAAATGCATTCTTTTTAATAGCTGAATAATATTCCATTGTGTATATATACCACAGCTCTGCTGATGGACATCTAGGTTGCTTCCATGTCCTGGCTATTGTAAACAGTGCTGCCATGAACCCTGGGGTACATGTGTCTCTTTCAGTTCTGGTTTCCTTGGTGTGTATGCCCAGCAGCAGGATTGCTAGGTCATATGGCAGTTCTATTTCCAGTTTTTTAAGGAATCCCCACACTGTTCTCCATAGTGGCTATACTAGTTTGCATTCCCACCAACAGTGTAAGAGGGTTCCTTTTTCTCTGCACCTTCTCCAGCATTTATTACTTGTAGACTTTTTGATAATAGCCATTCTGATTGGCATAGGTGGTACCTCATTGTGATTTTTACTTGCATTTCTCTGATAATGAGTGATGTTGAGCATCTTTTCATGTGTTTATTAGCCATCTGTATGTCTTCTTTGGAGAAATGTCTGTTTAAATCTTTGGCCCATTTGTTTTAATTGGATCACTTATTTTTCTGGAATTGAGCTACAGGAATTGCTTGTATATTTTTGAGATCAATTCTTTGTCAGTTGCTTCATTTGCTATTATTTTCTCCCATTCTGAAGGCTGTCTTTTCACCTTGCTTATAGTTTCCTTCATTGTGCAAAAGCTTTTAAGTTTAACTAGATCCCATTTGTTTATTTTTGCTTTTATTTCCATTACTCTGGGAGGTGGGTCATAAAGGATTCTGCTATGATTTACATTAGAGAGTGTTTCGCCTATGTTTTCCTGTGGGAGTTTTATAGGTTCTGGTCTTACATTTAGATCTTTTATCCATTTTGAGTTTATTTTTGTGTATGGTGTTAGAAAGTTTTCTAGTTTCATTCTTTTACAAGTGGTTGACCAGTTTTCCCAGCACCACTTGTTAAAAGAGATTGTCTTTTCTCCATTGTATATTCTTGCCTCCTTTGTCAAAGATAAGGTGTCCATAGGTGTGTGGATTTATCTCTGGGCTTTCTATTTTGTTTCATTGATCTGTGTTTCTGTCTTGATGCCTGTTGCTTTGTAGTACAGTCTGAAGTCAGGCAGGTTGATTCCTCCAGTTCCATTCTTCTTTCTCAAGATTGCTTTGGCTATTTGAGGATTTTTTTATTTCCATACAAACTGTGAAATTCTTTGTTCTAGCTCTCTGAAAAATACCATTGGTAGCTTGATAGGGATTGCATTGAATCTATAGATTGCTTTGGGTAGTATACTCATTTTCACTATATTGATTCTTCCAATCCACGAACATGGTATATTTCTCCAACTATTTGTGCCATCTTTTATTTCTTTCATCAGTGTTTTATAGTTGCAAGGCACATTCTTAACCACTGAAACACCAGAGAAGTTTTACTTAGATATTTTAAACAAAAATACAGCACTTATAAATAATTTAGCTCAGTCCCCTTATATTTTCATCATCCAGAAAGCCATAATAGAACATAAAAACCAACAGAACTGGCTTTGATCTTACAGGAGATCAATCTGCTACTATGCATGTAATAATTCTAATAAGCTCCATCCTGGCTTCCTAGATCAACAACCCTGACCCAATAGGCAAGACTAGTCTATTTCTCTAACCGTCCTAATTGGCTAACAAAATCCAGAAGCAAGTACTACAAGACAAACTTGTGAATATACATTGTTTCCCAAATCATGTCCTATAAAACAGAAACATCAATAAGATGTTAGAGAAAACTGGGAAATGGTGAACTAATCAGATAAGTTTACACAGTGCTGGATTTTTCAGAAACGTGATGCTAAAGTGCATTGAGAGTCTCCAAAAAGGGATGAAATATGAAATATCTTCCTAATTATGGGACAAGGAAATTCACTATTCTCCATGGAGTATCTTGAAGAATATATTTGTTTTGTAGAATTTGATTTAGGAAATATAGATAAAAATGGCAACAGGCTCAAAGGCATTAAAATTGGTAACTCTTGGGAGGAGAATCCTGCCTGTTCACCACTGACATGTAGACTTAGTACCACGTGTTCACCAAGTCAAAACTCTGCAGCAAATACTATTGCCTCTGCATCTGAAGATGGCACAAATTGAAGGCAACTTTCCTTGTCCAAATTTGCCAATTTAAGTACTTCCTACTGCTACTTAACCTGTCCTCTGGTACCACTGAATATGATGATACTACAAGATTCTCCTGAGTTTTTGTGTGACAGTTTGCCTAGAGGATATATTAATCTACTTCCTAGATAAACCTAATTGCAATGCAACCTCTCACAAGATAAACCAGCCTGGTGAGGACACATTTGAGCTCTCAGGACTACTGAGAGTATGACTCTCAGGAGTCATATTCCTCCTACTTTCATACTCCTTGCCCTTCCAAGATGCTGTCAAAGTTCCAGGTATAGTAGAATCAGTCTCCTTAAGACATAAAAAATTACCCAGAGCCTCCTGGTATTCCTGGGGCAAAGTTACCAATTTAGGCAGAACAAGTAAAACATGGGGCACTGGAGAGTGGTGGAGTCAAAAGCCATTTATGCAAACAATAGCACAGTGGCAAGGACTGTGAAAGACGGAGTAAGAGAGGATGTTAAAGTTCCTTCATTGGAACTAACAGACAGAAGATCAGCAGAAAATGAGGGCACCAGACAGGCCGAAGGCCAGAGCTCTACCCCTCCACTAAGGAAGGAATTCAGCAGTGCAGACAATTGGGGACCTCAGACTATCTGTTTGATTGGCTTTTCTCTCTTGTAAGAGGCTGTCCCAATTTCTGTGTACCAGAGAAGGCAGGGAAGGAAATCTCACAATAACTGGCTAGGGGATGAACTCTGAGTAAATTCTCAGATGGCCTGAGTCACACAGTGTTGATACTGGTCTCATTTTCATATTTAAAGATACTTTTCCAGACAATATTTAATTATTGCTAAAACCACATGATATTTTCTGGATAAAGGTGTTATTTTTAAAATAATGCTTTAAAACTAAAATTATGAGTAAATGACCACATATATTTCTAAAAGAAACTATAGTAAAAGTAGTAAGGCTTACAAACAAACCTCTCAAACTTTATTATTCAAAAGTTCTTATTAAACTAATATTTGTAATTCTTTACCACATGGCCAATGTAAATAACCTCCTAATCTCTAAACCAGTCATTCTGAAACAAGGAAGAAAGCGCTCCTGCCAAAGTGTATCAAGGTCTTCAAGGGGGTATAGTTTGGAAACCATGGTAATAGTAAACATAATTTTATAAATTTAAATATAAAATATAATTCTATACTTTGAAATTTTAATCATCTAATCTTCTTATGATAGATTTCAAAGAACTAAGTTTAGGGAAATGCCTTACTTTTTTTTTTCCTAGCAAGGCTAGACCAATTAGATCTCAGGTGATGTGAATGGACTCCACTAGAAAAAAAGAAAAAGCTGCTCAGATCCATGTTCAATGAGCCTAGGAGTTGAAGGCAAATGATTCAATATCACCTCCACATAAACTAGCTGATTTACCTTATGCAAATAACTTTAATTCTCTTAACCTCAAGGTTCCCAACTCTAAAATTAGGACAACAATGATACCTAATCTGCAGGGTCATTGTAAGGATTAAATGAAACAAAGCATGTAAAGTATTGGACATACTACCTGAAAGTGAAGTGAAAGTGTTAGCCACTCAGCCACGTCTGACTCTTTGCAACCACCATAGCGTGTAGCCCACCAGATTTCTCAGTCCATGGAATTCTCCAGGCAAGATTACTGGAGTGGGTAGCCATTCTCTTCTCCAGGGGATCTTCTCAATCCAGGGATCAAACCCAGGCCTCCCACACTGCAGGCGGATTATTTACTGTCTCAGCCACCAGGGACACTCCAACATACTACTTAAATTCAGTTCAGTCGCTCAGTCATGTCTGACTCTTTGCAACCCCATGAATCGCAGCACGCCAGGCCTCCCTGTCCATCACCAACTCCTAGAGTTTACTCAAACTCATGTCCATCGAGTCGGTGATGCCATCCAGCCATCTCATCTTCTGTTGTCCCATTCTCCTCCTGCCCCCAATCCCTCCCAGCATCAGGGTCTTTTCCAATCAGTCAACTCTTCACATGAGGTGGCCAAAGTACTGGAGTTTCAACTTCAGCATCAGTCCTTCCAACGAACACCCAGGACTGATCTCCTTTAGGATGGACTGGTTGGATCTTCTTGCAGTCCAAGGGACGCTCAAGAGTCTTCTTTCTCCAACACCACAGTTCAAAAGCATCAATTCTTCGGCACTCAGCTTTCTTCACAGTCCAATTCTCACATCCATACATGACCACTGGAAAAACCATAGCCTTGACTAAGGGACCTTTGTTGGCAAAGTAATGTCTCTGCTTTTTAATATGCTATCTAGGTTGGTCATAACTTTCCTTTCAAGGAGTAAGCGTCTTTTAATTTCATGGCTGCAATCAACATCTGCAGTGATTTTGGAGCCCCCAAAAATAAAGTCTGACACTGTTTCCACTGTTTCCCTACCTATTTCCAATGAAGTGATGGGACCAGATGCCATGATCTTAGTTTTCTGAATGTTGAGTTTTAAGCCAACTTTTTCATTCTCCTCTTTCACTTTCATCAAGAGGCTTTTTAGTTCCTCTTCACTTTCTGCCATAAGGGTGGTGTCATCTGCATATCTGAGGTTATTGAGATTTCTCCCGGCAATCTTGATTCCAGCTTGTGCTTCTTTCAGCCCAGCATTTCTCATGATGTACTCTGCATATAAGTTAAATAAGCAGGGTGACAATATACAGCGTTGACGTACTCCTTTTCTTATTTGGAACCAGTCTGTTGTTCCATGTCCAGTTCTAACTGTTGCTTCCTGAACTGCATATAGGTTTCTCAAGAGGCAGGTCAGGTGGTCTGGTATTGCCATCTCTTTCAGAATTTTCCAGTTTATTGTGATCCACATAGTCAAAGGCTTTGGCATAGTCAATAAAGCAGAAATATATGTTTTTCTGGAACTCTCTGGCTTTTTCGATGATCCAGCAGATGTTCACAATTTGATCTCTGGTTCCTCTGCCTTGTCTAAATCCAGCTTGAACATCTGGAAGTTCACGGTTCACATATTGCTGAAGCCTGGCTTGGAGAATTTTGAGCATTACTTTACTAGCGTGTGAGATGAGTGCAATTGTGCGGTAGTTTGAGCATTCTTTGGCATTGCCTTTCTTTGGGAATGGAATCAAAACTGAACTTTTCCAGTCTTGTGGCCATAACTGAGTTTTCCAAATTTGCTGGCATATCGAGTGCAGCACTTTCACAGCATCATCTTTCAGGATTTGAAATAGCTCAACTGGAATTCCATCACCGCCACCAGCTTTGTTTGTAGTGATGCTTTCTAAGGCCCACTTGACTTCACATTCTAGGATGTCTGGCTCTAGGTGAGTGATCACACCATCGTGATTATCTGGGTCATGAAGATCTTTTTTGTACAGTTCTTCTGTGTATTCTTGCCATCTCTTCTTAATATCTTCTGCTTCTGTTAGGTCCATACAATTTCTGTCCTTTATCGATCCCATCTTTGAATGAAATGCTCCCTTGGTATCTCTAATTTTCTTGAAGAGATCTCTAGTCTTTCTTGGTATATACTAAATTACCCAGCAAAAGCTAGATGCCACTGGAAGCCCTTATCTTCTGGGGACGTGAGATTTTTAAATGAGGTCTCTTATGGTGATACATAAAAATATTTTACTTTCAATCTTATATTAAAAGGGAATGTAGATTTTAAAGAACGAGAGACACAGAGTTTAAACTCCTGATTTTCTGGTGGTCCTTAAATTCTTGAACTTTTAGCCATTTCTTGAACTTTCTTTCCATCACTAGTAGTTTTTAATTTCACTGACTACACATTGAAATTAGCCTACATTCTAGAATAACACAGAAAGTTATCTTGGAATTCTTCTTGTTTATCCAATTTCAGTTCTCACAAGTTGCAAGACAATGTTGTTACTTGAATATTCCTCATTTCCATCATCTTTGTGTCATTCCAGTTAGCCCGAAAGAATTACTTTGCATAATAATATGTATACGCCTCTTTTACCTACCTCAAGAATAACATATACACATAGGAAGAAGGGTATGGAATAGCCAAGATAACTTTCTCCAGCATCTTTACGTTTGAGCCTGCTTCAGTGAGCACCATAACTAAAACTTCCTATTGGCTTTCATTTTTCAGTTATGCAAATCTAAAAAGAAAATTTTCCAATGGGCTCAAACATTATCTCCATAAAAGGTGACATTTTGAGGGATAAGATGGATGTGATTTGTTTTCATTTTGGAAATATGAATGATAAAATCTATATAATTTTTTCTTTAAGTTATGTAATAATTTAAAACTATTTCCATTCATGAGCCTTTTATGTCACATGTAGGAATCACTTTCCAGAATAGGAAACTCCTATAATATGAAAAGCATGCATGTCAAAAATAAAGTTAATGGTATTAATACTTGGAAATTTAGCTTAGAATGAGACCACAAAAATTATCTGCGTTTTATAAAATATATGCTTACAGGCATATATTTTTAAAAGCATACTTTATAAATACCACCATCATTAAAACTAATATATATGCCCCCAAAGGAGGGGAAACACATCTGCCTCCTTTTCCTGCCTTGACCTTTGAAAAGGAATTTCTCTCTCAAAGATTACATTTAAGACCAAGTATACAATATGGCTCAGTTGGTAAAGAATCTGTCTGCAATACAGGAGACCTGGGTTCAATTCCTGGGTCAGGAAGATCCCCTGGAGAAAGAAATGGCAACCCACTCTAGTATTCTTGCCTGGAGAATCCCATGGACAGAGGAGCCCAGAAGGCTACAGTTCATCACAAGAGTCGGACACAATTTGTGACTAAACCACCACCACATAAAATCATTATTTTGTTTTAATTTATCTTGAAGTGACTGCTGAAAATAACAGCAAAAGTAAAAAATCCAAGTTGAATTAGTTTTATGCAACTACATTTAAAAATCACTCAATTTGAATCCCTCAGTTCATTTACTGGAAACATTTATCTATCTCTTTCTATTTATCCTAGGTAAAGATGAATATGATGGGATGTTTGTCCCTAAGAAGTTTACCACTTTTTAAGAAGACAAATATGTAAGCATAACATTATAATCCAATGTACTAAAGTATAATGTAAATACAAGTATGAACAGGAGTGAAGAGAAGTAAGTGATTAGTAGATATAGAAGATTATCTCTTTCTTTCGAAGGAAAGGAAATGTATTAATAGATTAATATATTTATCAGATTCCAAATAAAACTGAAGAAATGAAAGGGTTCCTTTTTTATTTTTTGAAAAAAATTGTATTGGAGTATACCTGCTTTACAGTGAAAAAGGAAAGGATTTTAATTTGATTTACTGTCCAATTCAACTATAGTGTTACATTTTGATTATAATGGTTTAATTAAAATAGAAAGTTACAGAACATCTACCTAGACAAGTGTAACTCAGTAATTCCTGCATATTCTTATTGAGATTTCTCTCAGTTCTTACCTGACTTCATTTAGCCTTTGGTGTTCTTGCCACCACACTTGCTTGTGTTGCTTTATTAGTGTTTGTTCTTTAGATAACTTTGAAGTCTGCACTGTTTTTCTGATCTAGATTCAGAGGAACAAAAGAGAAGCAATTCTGATGTTTTTTAAGTGTTTCCAAAATAAAAATGTTTAATTTTTATTTTCTAAGTTAAATACTTTCTCTTTTTCAATCCTATTCATGCATTTTCTAACACTAGCATCTTTCTAAAGAAAGATGCTTTCCTTTCTTTAGAAAGGAAAAAATCTATTTTCCACACATACAACAAATAATACCTTATTCATCCAACTCAAGGAAAATTTGCATGAATATTCTATATATTTTCTTGCCTTTTTATACATCTTCCCTACCAAGCATCATTCTTATTTTACAGATGAGGACTCTGAAGTTCAGATAAGTTAAAAAACTTGGTCAAGACCATCAAGGTCGTAAATAGCAGAATCACATAGAACCTTGGTGTTCGGATTGGTTTTATGTAACCCTTCAGCACAGGATGGGAAAAAAGTCATTGGATAAGTTATTAGGAGGACTGGCCTTAGTTTCAGCATCTACTAGAAATATGACCTTGAATTGTATGTACAATTTTAATCTTTTTACTACATGACTTTGTAAATAAAGTTTTTTAAATCTTCAGGCAAATCTTTATTTGAAGGTATTAAACAAGGAAATAGTGAAAAAGAGCACTGAAACCCAAATTTTCAAATCAATTTAAATTTTTCCAAATTTTATGACTTTTCAAAAAAAATGTAGTACATAATTCATGCTTTGGAGTTTCTGCTAATAAGCTATGTCAGGCTTGGGTCTGTTTGCCTTAAGATCCATTCTTGGCCAGCTCCCTCATCTGCTCCACATCAGAGAGCAGCCTGTGTTTCTCAGACGCCCCTGAAACTGCCTTCCAGCTGGGTTCAGCCAAAGGGATACACTGGTAGTGGGTGATTAGAGGGAGGGAGGAAAGGCGAGCCAAAGGATTATTCACTCCTCTCTACTCTCAGAGGAGTCTCCACAAGCATCTGCATTTTCTCCATTGCACCAACATTTCCTGACAGTTCTACCCTGGTTCCAGCTATCTCTGGGTAATCGCAGCCTATGGGGTGTGCTACAACCTTGCTTTTGCTAAATGGCCCTCCAACCCAGGCAAGATAATGACTTCCTTCTGCTGTAATCCCTATATTGGTTCACAGCCCTTTGGCTTCTCAGCTCCATCACCTGCGTAACTATTTCCTGCATTAACAACCCCCCTATTCTAAATCCTTGAGTATTTGTCTGTCTCATGGTTAGACTCTGACTGACACTGAACTTGTGTATTTATATATGCTGAACTTGTGTATTTCATATCAAAACTTTAAAATATCTATAAAAGTGCTCATCTCAAATCAGAAACTCAATGAAATATGCATATTTTATATTTTCACTGCTACTAGCATACTCAGTACTCTGAAAGCTTTAAGAGATCAATACTGAAGATATAAAAACTTCAGAAGAGAAACTCTAAAAAGACTCTGTATAATGCATGCTATTTCCAGCTGTCATTCACTGATTATTATAACCTTGAGTTTATCTTTCTGCTTTTCTGGTTACTGATTCAAAATTAGGAGTATAAAAAAACAAAATAACCCAAGCATCATTTTAAAAAACACAAAGTCAAATCTTAAGAGTGCTACAATTATGAAATTTTGGAGAAAAGTATATTTAAATCAGAACAGGTCATTGCAGAAAAACACACAGCGATCTCTATTTCACTGAAAAAATAAAAGTACATATGTAGTGTTTATAAATTCAGACACTCTTGTGTTTGCTTGAAGAATGCCTAAAACTCATTCCAACTATTTGCCATCTATAGTCTCTGGAGTTTGTTGCATCAGGCAAAACTTTTAAAATTAGATTTCTTTGACATATTTGGTCCATATTATAAAAAAAATTAAAACACATTGGTGAAAGATGTAGACAGATTTTTATAGCTTAAAAAAATCAATGCTGTTGCCTGTGGACCCAGGGAAAGACCAATTAGGTAGACTATAAAAGTCAAAATAAAGCTACTATTTTTCACTAGACACTTCCAGTATTTTGCAGAACATCCTGACTTCTTTGTAAATTCACTCACTGACTCTCCTTCTATCCTCAGGCCAAAAACTTTTTTTAAAATAAGAAAAGTTTTTAAAAAATAAAATGATTTAATGTTGTATCTTTATCAATAGAGTAATTTCTAGATGATTCCAATTCAGTTTGCTGAACAATAAGCCATCTGAAGTCAATATTTAAGGTAGATGATTATTTATGCAGAATGCTGATGAATTAAAAATTATAAAAGTAATACATTCATTAAAACACCAGAAAGTAGAGGTTTTCTTTGTAGTTTACTGTGATGAGCCAAGAAAATAAAACCCTAAATGCTGCTGCTAAGTCACTTCAGTCGTGTCTGACCCTGTGCAACCCCGTAGATGGCAGCCCACCAGGCTCCTCTGTCCCTGGGATTCTCCAGGCAAGAATACTGGAGTGGGCTGCCATTTCCTTCTCCAATGCCTGCATGCATGCTAAGTCACTTCAGTCATGTCTGACTCTGTGCGACCCCATGGACAGCAGCCCACCAGGCTCCTCTGTCCATGGGATTCTCCAGGCAAGAGTACTGGAGTGGGTTGCCATTTCCATTTCCCAAAACCCTAAATAGGCACCTAAAAGTCCTATGGGCCAGATGACCCATCTTTAGGTAGAAGCAGCAGTAATTAGTAGACAATTTAAGTGCTGGCTACGTATGCCTGTGTCAAAATTAACTGACTTGTACACTTTAGATTTGTGTACTTCACTATATGTGAGTGATAACTCAATGAAAACTGTCAAAATTAAAAATTACACTAAGATGTCATTCCTCATCTAACATCACATTGGCAAAAATTCAAATGTTCAACAAAACACTATGATGTGAGGCTATGGGAAAACATGCTCTCTCTTACATTGCATGTGGGAATGCAAAATGATGCAAACTCCCATAGAAGGGAATTTGGAGTTTCACACGGATTTACCCTTTGACCGAGGAATCATATCTATACTAATCTACCTGAAAACTATATTGGCCAAAGTATAAAAAGATAAATAAACTAAGCTATCCATTGCAGCACTGTTTGTAATGAAAAAAGACAAGCACAGAGATTCTGTCAGTGTGTTCTTACCAAAATAAATTGAACTTGAATTTCATCAAGTCTCTGCAAATAACTACCAATCACTGGAAATACAAGACATAGGAAAATATGTTTAATGACACTACCAGGATATAATCAGCAAAATCCAGACTATAAGAAACTATAAAGGACAAATACTATAATTTCTTCAAAAATAAATTATAAGAATATAAGAGGATGGAGGAGGAAACCTTACAAAAGTAAATATCAATTATAATATATGGATATTATTTAGATGCTAATTTGAAAAAATGTGAAAAAATTGGAGACAATCAGAGAGATTTAACATCAATTATTTGAAATTATTAAGAAATCATTAACATTTTAATACTAATAGTATTATAGGGTTTAGGATTTTATAGCCCTAATCTTTTAAAGATACCTACTGAAATAATTATGGTGAATATTATAATATCTGAGATTTGATTCAAAATAATCTGTTATAGAGGGAAATTGTAGGTGAGAGTACAGCGGAAACAATGGTCAAGAGTTGTTAATAGTTTAATGTGGATAATATCATGTGGTGATTAATAACTCCATTCACTCTAATGTTGCAATTGTCCATATTGTAACATATTTTACAACTGTAATTTTATTCTTGCAATTGTCCATATTGTAATGTTTTTAAAAACAAGAAATAGTAGATGGATTACTTGAGCTAGACAAGAAGAAATATTCATTCTTGCTAAGCAAAGAAATTCAAATAAAAATAATTGTAAATATCTCTTTTGTACCTAAATTGGGAATGAAGAGTTAACATTTAATTTACCAAAAATTGGTCTTGATTTTCTGCCCACCTCTACTCTTTGGCTTCAGGTCTCAGCCTTTGAAAGACTAGATTACTCAATGTGAGCACTGGCATCTTATCTAGCATACCATAACTTGTGCATGATCAATAACATAGCAATTATATAGGTCACTATCACATCAAATCAGTATAACAATGTCAGCAAATCAGAAAAGTCTCCTGAATTTATTGTTAGTTAAAAATACTTATTGTTAACTGCTTTTCAAATATAACTAAGCATTCTAGATGTAAGTTGAAGCAAAAATCTTATGTGCTTTAAATGTTAACATTCTATCATTCAGGTTAAGTATGTTTACATTTAATATTGCCACAGTAAAGTACTGTAGTAACTAACAATGATCATTAAAGCTGTTAATTTCATGTGCAAAAAACAAGCACATTCAATTAGTAAAAAAAAATGGGAACTGACTGATAATTAATATAAATATTAAGAGAGAATGTTAACTATTTAACACTAAGAAGAAGAAAATATAATTTTTTAGCCAACATATTTTACAAAAAGTCAAATAATAATATAAGAAAGGATAACAGAGACAGTATTATCATAATTCTAGCTGGTGTAGGTTATTTGATATATTAACATTCATAACATTAAACAAAATAAATCTTAAGAATTATTTTTAATTTTCCGTTATCTAACTCCATCTAGGCCATGAGTCTTTCAAGAAAAGTCCTATTTCGGAATTCTTCACATCCTTAGAAGAAGAAACTAAAAGCAAAATGTCAACTTGATATCTCTAAATTAAATGAGAAAGGAAGGATCCAAAAATCATGAAAACAACATTCCCAATACATCTTCCTTATAAAATAAAAAAAAAAGTGAAATTTGTAGAAAGGAAAGAAGACTGTTAGAAAATGATGAGGTATCCAGGACACATTTTGTTCTCACTGATGAAAATTCAAAACAATAGATTTTACAAAAATGCTTTAAATGGATAATTCTTTATTATGATGAATCTATGGATACCAAAAATGGAAGCAAAAAAAGCTTGCCAATATGATTGCTACAGACACTTTCAGTACTGAACCATATTTGGTAGTTTAAAGCAAGAGATTTCTTTGAGATTTGCCAAGCTATGAATCCCGGATAACAAGTTTTTTCTATAAAATATGTAACTAAAATGCGTCTTCGTAAATTATATTCTGTGAACAAAAAGGTACTTGATGTTATTTAAAATATTGGTTGTGGATGGTTATTTGTTTAACCTCACAAATGAATAACACAATAACCAGAGAAGCAGCCTAGTTAGCTGACAGTGCTGGGAAATTATTATCCCTGTACTTAGTGCCAAACTTTAAAAATTACCTTAATAATTTAAAAATGTTTATTCTTTGATAGCAATTCTATCCTCAAAGAGAAATTCACTTTGACCAAATATTGATTTTTAACATTCAGTCATTCCCCATTCAAATATGGGGACTCATCCAAAATATGGGGAATCATCCAAAATACGTATCTGGTTTTACACAGACATTCTTCAAGCAGATGGTCAGCACCCCTAACCCTTGCAATGCTCAAGAGTCAACTGTACATTTTCCAATACTGAAAAGGGCATAGATAAAATGTTTGCGGTGACATATTTGTTACAACAGTACTTTGGGAGAGAACTAATAAACATTCATACTTTTTGGCCCAGACATCTCAGTCATGGGAATTTATCCACATAAGGTGTCTATGCATAAAGATATTTATGGAAATATGATTTTCAATATAAGAAACTGGATACAAGGTAAATATCCAATAATTGGGATGTGATAAAGTAAGCATCTTTTTCTTCTTGGAGTAGTTATCACTCCTGTTTTGTTGGCTAATACTTATTGTCCTTGGGATCCCAATTCAATGTCACTTCCTTAGAAAAGCCTTCCTTTCCACCCAATTAGTATCACGTTCTGTTATTGTACATCAGACATTTTTTTTGTTTGTTTTTTGGGGGGGTGAATTTAGTTTATACTTAGTTTGGGCTTCCTAGGTGACACCAGTGGTAAAGAACCCTCCTGCCAGTGCAGGAGACTTAAGAGACCCAGGTTCGATCTGCTGGTCGGGAAGGTCCTCTGGAGGAGGGCATGGCAACGCACTCCAGTATTCTAGCTGGGAGAATCCCATGGACAGAGGAACCTGGCAGGCTATAGTCCGTAGGGTCATAAAGTGTCAGACATGACTGAAGCACCTTAGCATATACGCAGGCACATTCTTAGTACTACTAATTTCATTTCAGGGCTTATTTGATAAATACTCGCTTCTATTCTTCCTCTCTCCTGAAAATATTACACCCCATGAGGGTAGGTGTTGTATTATGCTCACCACTGTACATTCAAGGCACACAGTAAATATTTATTATATGTATAAGTGTGTACAATGGTATATATACAATGGATTAGCACAGAAGTCAGAAATATGAAAATGGCTTATTAGGATGATAGTCATATAAGAGATTTTCCCATAAATTCTCTTTGAACGTCCTGATAACATTAAATTATTTTAAAGTTGTATCTGAAACAGATAATGCCCAACATTTTAAGTGGTCTCCTTAGTTTAAGGGGACATAACTCATGAATATATGGTAATTTCTCCAGAATAGGGTAACAAATGTGCCTTGAAATCATGACAGTTGCCTTTTCAAAAAGATACTAACAATAAAAAGCAAGGCAAAGCTAATATAGCACAAAATACTAAATACACACAAAAGTTTGTAAATTGCTTGGTGTGTTGCTTTGCCCACCCAAATTTTTGGATGCAACCAAGCAATGGAAATGCTACTTATAAAGTATTCTATTATTTGGATAAGAGGGAAATATATTGCATGAGTAATCCTAAACTCATCCATGGTCCTAAAATATTGTGCACAATCACTTGGAATGTTAACCTCTTTCAAATCTAGTTGAGGTTCACCTTTTCTTAGATCAAGGCAAAAAGAGAATTCTAGAAAAGAGACACCTGGGGGCATATTTTGTGCTGCAGAAGGAGCTGTAAATCAGATGATAAGCCATGGCTAGCACTTACTAGCATTTTTAATTTTTTTAGACTATGTTAGAAATTGTTGAAAGCTAATGAAATAGCTATCTTTCTAAAAATAAAGTTGAATTCAGGCTTCATGGGATTGTTACAAACATTAAATGAGTCATGCATGTAAGCTACACAGCACAATGTCTGAGAGTATTCAATAAATGTTCCCATTCACTATTACCAATAGTTGGAAGGTTCTAAAAACTACTTAGAATGTTATTTATTTTCACATTTCATTGTAAATATCATTTTACTTCCTAGCAGTTCAATTTTCCAAAACTATTAATAGAAAACACACATAAACGACTCTAACCTTTAGCTCTGTAGAGGCAGAAGCTAACTTTTTTGCTTCAGTTAATGCATGCAATTGTTGGTAGTCTACTGGTTTATACTTGGTGCTTCTGATTTCATTTTTCATATGAAATATCAGATTATCTGTTTTTCATCAAAAACAGAAAATGACAAAGAAACAGGGTTATGTTATTGGAAGTCAAAATAGAGTTTTGGCAACATGTTGACTACTAGTCTTATTTTTAAACATTTTAAAGCAAATATAAGAAGTAATATATTATAATATTCATAGTATATTTGAAATTCTATTTCTAGAAATTTAAAAAATATTACCACTATATTCCTTGAACAAAATTACTTCTAAAAGAACATAAAAGGAATACTTTCATTTGTTAATATATTGAGGATTTTAGAAAATTATATTGTCAAGATACAAAGTGTGATCATTTTTTTATTTACAATGTGTTAGTCATTAACCGTTAAGTATTTAAGTATCATGTTCATATGAATCAAATTAAGTAAATATAACTTTTAAAGTCATAGTTGCATTTTTAACCTAGAAAAATTGATTCAATTAAATACAAAAGAGGTTGAAACTGATAGCTAAGAAATTTAATAGGCCAGATAAGATAAAAATGACATAAAATGTGTGGGCAGACATTCTCCATCCAACTATAAAAAATGTCCTAGTTTAGCTTGATATTAACTATTTTGATAAAATAAAATATAAGTAGAGGATAGACAAGGCTATGGTTTTTCCAATAGTCATGTATGGGTGTGAGAGTTGGACTGTGAAGAAAGCTGAGTGCCGAAAAATTGATGCTTTTGAACTGTGGTGTTGGAGAAGATTCTTGAGAGTCTCTTGGACTACAAGGAGATCCAACCAGTCCATCCTAAAGGAGATCAGTCCTGGGTGTTCATTGGAAGGTCTGTTGTTGAAGCTGAAACTCCAATACTTTGGCCACCTGATGCAAAGAGCTGACTCACTTGAAAAGACCCTGATGCTGGGAAAGATTGAAGGCGGGAGGAGAAGGGGACGACAGAGGTTGAGGTGGTTGGAAGGTATCACCGACTCAATGGACATGAGTTTGAGTAAACTCTGGGAGTTGGTGATGGACAGGGAGGCCTGGTATGCTGTGGTTCATGGGGTCGCAAAGAGTCAGACACGCCTGAGTGACTGAACTGAACTGAACCCCAAGGCCAAGAAACATGAAGTATAAAAATTTGAGTAATTCAAGCATCATTACCTCAATGATGTGAAAAATTCACCTGTGCAATGTAAAGCAACTAAGATTTATTAAGTATATCATGGGTCACATGACAGTAAGAAGGCTCCAAACAACTTAAGGCCAAGCACAGTGAAGGAAAGAATGACTGGTCTGATTATTGTGAAGAAACCGAAGAAATTTTCACTATGTCCAAAAAAATGAACCTTCCATTATTAAAATTTTGAAGATCAACATTCCAGTTTTATATCACCCATAATCTACCATAAACCATAAAATAAGCTTAGAAGTAGGAAAACTACCTGAGCTATCATTTTTCTGAATCATCATGAATAGTTGGTCTCTTTTATTCATGTTTTCCATACCTGTCAAGGAAACAAAAGAGAGCTAAAATTTTACAATGTTATTTTAAAACCTGTTTTACAGAAATGTTCACTGTAGTGATTGTGGAAATCAAATTCCAGGACTGGGTGCCATAACTCTTTGTATTTTATTAAAATTTGTTTCTCTTTGCTCCTAGAAGCCTCCTCCCATTAGTTTTTTCCTCTTTGTGCTTTTCCTGGTCTTGGTTTTTCTTCTTCCAATCTCTTACCTCCCTCAGATTGTCCCAGAGACTGGTAAATATTTCATGATTTAAAAATTGTGTATGTTTTTTATCTTGAGTTCTCAGGAGGAAAGAAAGCACATAAATTACAAAATAAAGCAGCTAGACAAATTACTTACTACTTCTCTTCAGCAACATGGGGATATGTCATCCACTTCTAGAGAGCATTTGATGCTTAGCTGTCACCTCCTCCAGGGCTGGACTCAGCTGCAGACAAAGGCCTTGCCAAGAGACACATCATTCCTGGAGCAACCCATACCCAAAGACAGAGTAAGGCAAGGAGGTAAGGCAAGCCCAACAGTTTGGGCTTAATGCGGGTCACTCTAATGGGTAATATTTGCTCCAGGGCCCTCTTTGGGGTTGACCCAGACTTTGTTGAACCTGCATGAAAACTGACTTTTTCTTTTGCCCAAGCTTGCTTCCTCCTTTCTTTCACAGGTATGCATCCCTGATAAATATCTAGCACCCCAAACTCTGTTTCAGCATCTCCTTCCTAAGAACCCAACCTGCAATAGCACTGAACGGAACCAACATCTTTTTATGGTACATCCAGGGCAAGATACTAGTCAAGTTGTTCCTCAAGAGACAGTACACATTTTTCATACATTTTTGTTCACTATCTACTAGGTTGAATTACCCATGTCTAGTGGTCTTTGCAGTAATGTAAATCTTCTTAAATGGAAGAGAAATTAGCAAAAATCCATATTTTCAGAGACTCTGCCAAGTTACCAAGAATCATGATGATTGCTCAACAGTTTTAGGGGTAAGCCTCAATGTGTAATTTCTGTAGGGTCTCTGTTAAATAATTCTTTTTTTAAGTCTTTCATAAATTGTCAACCCTCCTTACTGACTGGTTTTTACTCATACACATATCCTATCAATTAAGAGTCTTCTTTGTTCTAGAAGATTTTGCACATCCAATCTACCTGCATGGTCTCAGGCGCCCATCACCTGGATAACAGCAGCATTCCACTTTGTACCCTTACAGTGCATCCTCCACACAGCAGCCCAAGTAACATTTTAAAAACTCAAATCTGACCTTGCTTGAACCCCTTCAATGGTACCTATACCCTTTGAAATAGTATCCCAACTTCTTTAAATGATCTATAAGGTCCTGCATAATCTTGCCCTTGGTCATCTCTCTACCCACATTTTAATCACACCAGTCATTCTGTTTCTCAGACCTACCAAGTTCATTCTGCTTCAAGGTCATCCCACTTGTGGTTCTCTCTGTCTTAAAGACATTTCCTTCTTCTTTTTGCCTGTTTGGTTCCTTCTCAACCTTCAGCTTGACCAACATGTCACCTCTTCAGAGAGATCTTACCAGACTTTTCCATCTAAATAAGGAAGGACCCTTCTTTCTCTCTCATTCGATTCTCTTCGTTTCCAGAATAATTTGCACTAGTCTTTACATTTTCATGCTTACTGATCTGATATCTGTCTCCCTCCATGCTTGTTTTATTTCTGATTGCATCCCCAGTCCCTAGCACAGAGTAGTAAGTGCTCAATATCTATTATTTGAGGAAATGAATAAAAGGTAGCTGGTGGTAGCTAGATATCTTCTAGCTCCTCAAAAGAACTGAAACAATTTCTAAATTCACACTATAGCCTCACTCTCCTAATAATAACCTTGCAATTTTTAAAAAGGTGCTTTGATGTATAGCCAACAGAGAAGAATGACAAGCTTAAATACCCTCAGGGCCATCCAGTTAGTTAAATGAGAGAAGTGGGAAGATATACAACCATATGGAGTGCAGAAAACATGGAAAATTGATAAGTATTCCATGCCCAAAGATAATCAAATATGCATTTTTTTTCTTTTTCTAAAAACAAGTACTAAACAAATAAAGCAAACTCCAAAATAAATTTGTTCTTTTTTCAGCAGCCAGTTCCTGAGCTCTGGTCTACTCCTTTTCACATCTAGTTTTCATTTCATTCTCCCATGCATAACCAAACAGTCTAAGTTTGCATCTCCATCCAAGAAAGACCTCACCAGTTCCCTGACTGGTTTTAGTTTTCCCTCCTTGGGGAGTTGAGCACTCCCCAAAGATTTAGGATTGATTTCCTTGGGATTAAGATTATAAGATTGAGGCTCTAAAATAAGATGGGGTTTTGCAGATTTCATTTCGGTTACCTTGCATGCATACTCAGTCGCTTTAGTCGTATCTGACTCTTTGCAACTCTTATGGACTGTAGCCCACCAGGCTCTTCTGTCCATGGGATTCTCCAGGCAAGAATACTGGAGTGGGTCATGCCCTTCTCCAGTTCAGTTACGTTGGTCTGCCCCTATTTAATCTGTTCCTCCTGGTTTTCAGAGGAACATCATGAAAGCCACACCACGTTTCTCACCATTTCTACATAAGGAAGCAGAATTTGCCACCCCAAAATATGTCTCCTTAGAATAGTATTTTAAACTGGTCATTTTCTAGGAAACAGCAGACACAGAAAACACTCTAGGGGCTCACATTAACGTTTTTTAATTATATGACCACTTGGCTGCTATATTCGTTCTTTCACTTGGAACAGAAGGTATCATTAATCATATAGAGGCTTTAACAAAATTTATGTAGCAGCTTAAAATAATAATAATCGGGCCAATAGCTTGCTCAAGTTGGAAGTCTCCGTGACTAAATTGGGGTTCTATAGAATTCAATGCATGGCCCTCAAGAGTCTAACTGCTTCCCAGTGGGAAATTTGAACTATAATACACACTGAGTTAATGAGTTCTGGCTTTTTATACATGAAGTGTCTTCTGATATAACTCGTCTTAACACACACATGTGAAGAATCAAATTTCTGCCCTGAATGATCCTCCTCCTAGCTTAGGGAAAATACTAGGAAAATAGTTTGGTTTAGGAAAATCTTGGCTTAAATCTTTACTAATAGCATTGTTACTCCAACAATTTTGATTACAATTTGTGTGCTTATGCCATTTCCACTTTACGCTTACTAGTGAATATGTGAAAAATTCAAAGTGGCAACTTCAGCCCATAGTTAAAATGCTTTGGGTTGACTAATGGCTACTTGAATTTTCCATGTAAAATTTTCCATGTTAAATAATTTAAGAGCACTTAGTTTTAGATATTATTCCATGTTCACATTATGTGACATTTTAGAAATTGCTTATAGTGTTGTCAAAATGTTAAGTCTCTTAGATCTACCTGATTCCTGAAAACATTTTAAAATAATATACTTTCATGAGAAATTTACTATTCTGTAAGAAGAACATGTTGATATATAATATAATGATAGCCCTGTAGTTGCTAGAGGGCTGAAAAAAACATTTTGATATAATGTTAATTTTATCAGATATGATACAGAATCTAAACTTTAAAAAAAAAAATTCACAACTTCAACTAGTCTCTACAGGGTAAGTGAACAATCAGGAGTTTTCTAGAGATGAGAACAAAATAGCCAAGAGACCATTTGTACAATAAGGCAATCTTCTACAGTGTTAAAATTTGTATTCTGTGACAGGGATTGAACCTGGGCCCCCTGCATTGAGTGCCATCTTAGCTACTGGACCACCAGGAAGGCCCCATATTCTCCTTTAAATTCTAAGCTGAATGGCACACATTACTTCTATAGTGAAACATTATGTTTTGTAGTTGGTATAAGATAAAATTATTGCCCTGGAAAAACTAATGGAAACAAAGGGTAAATTATGATAGCTAATAAAAATGATTACATGAAGTACTCAGTTACATTATAAATATCTCAAAATTAGACATAATGGGAAAAGATCTCATTCAAAACAGCAACCACGAGGACTTCCCTGGTAGTTCAGTGGTTCAGACTTCAACTTTCAATACAGGGGTAAGGGTTAGTTAGATCCCTGATCAAGGAGCTAAGATCCCACATGCCTTGCCACCAAAGACGAAAACATAAAACAGAAACAATATTGTAACAAATTCAATAAAGACTATTGCAATGTTTCACATACAAAAAAAAAAAAAAACTGGAAACAAAATAAACATCAAAAGGAGAGCAACCAAACAAAACAAAGTATCGAGGTATAATCTGTACAAGAAGTTTATAGAACTCATAAGTTTGTAGAAATCATAAAGAACCACAGCAAAATGTAGTACAGGAAATAAAGCTTGGATAGAGAGAAATTCTGTGCACCAAACATTTAATAGTGGCAAGTTTGGGGCAGTAGGATTATATTTGATTTTGATTTTTTCTTTTTGCTTGAGCAGTTTCTAAATTTTTCTCTTTTTAACAGATGAAAAACACATTTTAAAAAATACTAAGCAGGAACAAATAGTTTTTTCACTGTATTGGGGGAAATGCTACTGCAGTTTTCACATTTTACCAGTTTAAAAAGAAACAATTTCATGACACCAAGGAACCTTTAAAATGTGAACTTGTATATAGCAATATAGTTTTCCACTCTAATACTGAATTGAACTATTTCTTACTAATCTTTTTTTATTAAAAGACAAGATATATTAAGTACATTTGTAGAAGTTCACAGAGCTTGAAAACATTAGCATTAAAATATTTACAAGGTTGTAGTTGAATTCTCTATAAAGTGTTAGCTGCTCAGTCATGTCTGACTTTCTGACCTGATGGACTATAGCCTGCAAGGCTCCTCTGTCCATGGGAGAGGCAAGAACACCAGATTCTCCAGGCGAGAATTCTAGAGTGGGTAGCCATTCCCTTCTCCAGGGGATCTTCCCAACCCAGGGATCGAACCCAGGTCTCCTGCACTGCAGGCAGATTCTTTACCATCAGAGTCACTAGGGGAGCCTTAATTCT